ACATAGTTTGTATAATTACCATATATTATTTATAACCAGAATAATTTTGTATATTACTTGTGACGTGTTCTGTGCTTTGCTACACGGCTTAATAACCTTTGCATGCCGTGGTTTCTTTCTCTGTCTGCTGAGATTTCATAATCAAGTGCGGGCGCGGCGGCCAGTAAATAAACTAAGTGCGTCATATGCAGTTATATCAAAACAGACAAGAAGAATGGCAGCGCAATTACGAAACATGTTTTACTATGTAGTGCTACAACGATGTTCATTCTTTGTTTTGTTTAAAAATCAAAATGCCTTGCATATAGTCTTGTATATTATCATTGAATTGCGCCCTCCCCCCCCCTGTAAAATATTATTATGTATATTTTTTTTATGCAAAATGCTCTAATTTGCATAAATTATGCACAGCTCCAAGGTTCCGGTTCCAGGTTCCGGTTCCTGTATCGCTGTATCGTTGTATCGCTGTATCGCTTTTTAGTAGTAGCCGATTTAATAAACATGTTATATGATAAGCTGACAGGACGCGAAAAGATTAACACACCGCGGTATATTTAAATGTCTAGCTTTTAAATGTTAGGGACCGTTCATTATTTATACCCGGGGTTGGTACCGAAGAGATATGGGTTGGGTAATCAAGTTTTTGACTAGCTCATGGGATGGGTAAAAATATTTATGGCTTTCTGTCAGCTATAAAATAAAATCAAAATTACCATGCATTGGAATATATGAAGAAAAATATGTACAATACATTCTGTACCAAAATAGACAATCAGTGATTGGGGAAGGACTATTTCATTGAACGAAATCACTCAGTGAGTTTGTGAGCATTTAGAATTTTAGGCAACTTGATTTCTGTCACCGTAATCTTGTGTGTTTAATTATTATGAAGTACAGTAACACATGGGTTGGGTAAACATTATTTTGACCAATGTTGAGGTTGGGTAAATAAAACATTTACAGTGTTTTTTGCTTCTCTTCGGTACCAACCCCGGGTATAAATAATGAACGGTCCCTTACATACAGTAATGAAAAATGTTTTCCCGCTGACCGGCAGGTATCGAAAATGGCCGATAATAGCAATTTAAGTACTCACTTCCGGTATCGAAAACTGAAATTTTGTGTTCATTTTGGTATCGAAATAGGTATCGGTATCGGCCGATACCGAACTTAAAAGTATCGGTATCGGTATCGAATTAACAATCCTGGTATCGCCCATCACTAACGTAAATTGTGACTTTTCAGAGAAAATTATAGTTTTTCTGGAACAAATTATGAAAAGCCCGCGCTTTTGCGCCAAAGTAGAAAAACATTTAATTCATACGTTTTAAACTTTTTATATACATAAATATCGGATTTATCGCATGATTTTAATTATCAGTCAATATTCCACACCTTAGTAGCCTTCGTAAACATTGAAATAAAATATCATTGGATTAAAAACTTATAAAAAATCTATAAAACAAAGACATAATAGTTGCACTACATGACGTATCCACATGGTGTTGTATATTTTCAGTTTCGCCATTTTGTTTTAAAGTCGCAAAATGGGAAAACATTTCAAGAATTTTTTGATAAAAAACAACGGTTTATTTTACAAATGAAAGCTGCAGGAATACGTCCAGTGGTTCCTTAAACGATGTACCTTGATATTTATCTTTTAAAACTTATATAAAATGGGAAATTATCCAGATACGAAACGAAAACACGAGGATTCTACGCTTGAGGAAAAACAAGAACAAAGTGTCGTAGAATTGCCCAAAAAGTATGTACATTTTGTGAGATTTATGCTATCTATTTTGTTGTAAATAATACTATATCTTTAAGGAAAGTGGCATTACCTGATTTGGGCGAAATATTTTGAGTTGAAGTGGTCTTCAGCAGCTAAATTTTACACTACAAGACTCGGTCACTGATGACCGATTATTTACAGTAGCATTGTGACATCGAGGTGTTAATTTCTCAGATTTCACATATACAGGGGTTTATATAACAGTGTTGGGTTTGGTGTTAGCTCAGTGGTTGTTGAAATCATGTTTTCAATATATTTATCGACTGGCATTGCAGATTGTTAAAATGGCTGTGTTATTGTAAAGTTCATTTAGCAATGGTTCAATGACCAATATATCCCGAGGCTATTATTCAATATTAACATTTTAACACCACTGAGCTCTTTATATATTTATATGGAGCAAGAACTTCAGTCATTCAGCCTATGAGAAAAGTGAAGCGAAGATGGCGAAAAAATTGATGTCCAATAGCTCTGAAGGTCATCAACAGTTTTAATGCCATTTTTCCCCAGATAATTCCAAAACCATAGTGTTATCCTTTAAATCGATGTCAAAATACGAAGTTTTGGCACACTCCTCGCCAGCTTTGTTTTAACCACGTAGGCAAAAACAAAGGGAGCCGGAACTGATGCAAAGCTCCCTGAATCCGTGCAATTGGGGAGCATTCATTTTTTAGCTGGGGGGGG